TGTGTGTGTGTGTGTGTGTGTGTGTGTGTGTGTGTGCGTTTTACAAAAAATGGGGTCGCTTATCCACCTTATTTTCAAAGCGGAAATAAAGCTATTTTCTGTGAATGTGCGAAACTTCCGGTTCATTAGTCGCTATCGGTAAATAACTAGAAGAATAACAAAGTGCAATAAACGGTAAAGCGCCACAAAGCAGTGTGTTTGTGATTATGATCAGAGGCGGACAAAGTACACAACTCCATTACTCGAGTGAAAGTACAGATACTGCTGGTCAAGTATTACTCCATTACAAGTACAAGTTGTAAAGACAGATTTTTACTTGAGTAAAAGTACAGAAGTACTTGCTTTCAAAAGTACTTAAGTACCAAAAGTAAATTTCCTTTTTTATGTCAATGCACTGTTTTATTGTTGTACGTAACACTTGCAATACTTCTGAAGCAACTTAGAAGACATTACACCTACTGAATACACTGACTAGCTTGTAGTATCTTTGGAATAAAGAGCTTTTAGAATGTTAAAACCCTATGGGGGGGATTAACACCCTATACCCACACATCTATGTGTAGCCCTTCCTCCACATCTGAACAGAGGACGGTGAAATACTGTAAATACAGACTGATAAGGAAGAAAAATTGAACCTGCTTTAAAACCCAGCAACACAACTGTAGCTGTACAGCTTGTTGTAAATAAATATCACATTTGCAGCTGGTCAGTGCTCAACAAATGCTGAGAAATCTCTTCATGTAGCCCCTTGCAGAACACGTGTGTGTGTCCCACATATATGTGTTTATGTGAGCGGCGTGTTTGGAGATGGACATGTGAGGGCACAGATGAGGAAAGGGGAGCCTGGTTCTTATTCAGTGGTGCTTACACATTAAAAGGAGTTCATACTAAGTGATCACACCTCTGTTAGTGTTTTGTGCACACTTACACCCCTCAAGAGAGATTACTGATAAACCTCGAGGAGCTTGATAGAAATGTAGTGCACTGAAAAGTACAATATTCGTCTTTCAAATGAAGTTAAAGTCATAAGTTTCCAGAAAACATAATACTCAAGTACAGTACAGATACTCAAGTAAATGTACTTAGTTACTGTCCGCCTCTGATTATGATAATACATTAAAATAACATGGTAATAAATATTAGAAGCAGCTGACACCGGAAGTCTCCCACATTCAAAGTAGGTTGATGCTAGAAGTGATACAGCTACTTGCGCATGCGCACATCAATATTTGATGATGATAATAATAATAATAACGTATTATGTATTTCTTTTCAAAACACATTAGAAAGTGCAATCCAATTTTTATTAGAGAAATCGCGAGCAGATGTTCTGTTTGTAGTGAAGTGATGCACAGAGTTACACAGCTGAACGTTTCAGGCGTGGCGAGCTCGTGGAGCCTTCAGTCAGGGTTGCCAGGTTTGCAGAACAAAACCCGCACAAGTGCTACTCGAAACTAACCCAAAACTGGCCCAGTGGCGTTCCTATGGGTAAGATACGTATATCTGAAAGGGTTCCCTTAATACAATTCGCATCGCAGAGGTATAACATCACATTATTGCTGTCGCTTCAACCCGCGGCAACAGTGTTAAAGAAGCCCGATTCCGCGGGAAACCCGAGGACCTGGCAACCTGCTGTTTCATTAGCCCCGCCCACATCCTCATAAAGACGAGACGCGAGCTGAGCGCTGGCTACCCCGTCCTCTCACGCAGAGCAGCTGGCCGGATCAGCGCAACAACCCGCGGGGGACTTACCTCAACAGGTGAGGCGCGCTAAAGCCGAACAATACTTTCAATATCAGCCATAAACATTCCTATTCTGTCGCTCTGCAGCTGTGAAACGAGCTCGAGCAGTCAGATGTCGAGCATTACTGTGATGTGTTGCTTGAAAGTAGTTGTTGTTTTTTATTATTATTATTATTATTAAGTAATGTTTATTTTTGCCGTCTCAGGTCACAATGTGTAACATGGAGCCTGGATTCAGAAACACACTAAAGGTGAGAGCAGCGTGTGTGTGCGTGTGTGTGTGTGTGTGTGTG